AATATAACTATTTCAACTTTTGTATCAATGCTTAGTCTGAATGATTATATTACACAAATATAACTATTTCAACTTTTGTATCAATGCTTAGTCTGAATGATTATATTACACAAATATAACTATTTCAACTTTTGTATCAATGCTTAGTCTGAATGATTATATTACACAAATATAACTATTTCAACTTTTGTATCAATGCTTAGTCTGAATGATTATATTACACAAATATAACTATTTCAACTTTTGTATCAATGCTTAGTCTGAATGATTATATTACACAAATATAACTATTTCAACTTTTATACTAGTTATTAGCCTTATACTAGTTACTGATAGTGTGTCAATAGTTAAAAGTTCAGTTTATCTTTAATTATTTCCGACTTTAATAATATATAAAAACTACAAAGTAAGGATACTGCATCCTGCTGTTTCAAGATATTTCAATAACTTTTTACATTAACTGAAAAATTTTGCACTACATATATAATAATTGAGAAAATCATACTGAGGTTTGACTACATTATATTAAAATGATTTTGATACGTAAATCAACAAGTCACATGAAACCGCGGCCAATACAAAATTGTGGTAGAATAGCATGTATCGGAACTACATTTGTACATTTTTTGGTGTTTTATTGGTAGCGTGATGCCACCTAAAATTGGTCATTTATACGAAGGATTCTAGTAATAAAGTAATTGTGTAGGCGAGGGAATAAAAAAATGCAAAATAGAATATAAAGTAGTGGTGAAAAACCCGCCAAGTTTTTTCCCACTAATTTATATTCTATTTCACTTTTAAGAAGGGTCTATGACATATTACGTAACGTATTGCAATTTCGAATAGCCTCAAACTGAGTTAAACAATAATTTAGATTTAGAAATTAAATAAATGTCGATATGTATCCAATTTATGATACTTGCTAACAAGATTGATACACACTGTTTTTTTTTAATACAAATATATTTTAATATACAAGCTATAACACAATTTACAATAACAGTTATTACAAATAATGATCTGTGTACAAAAGTTTTACTAACTTCCAAACGATATTTAGTCCTCTATCTGGTCTGGAACTTCCTAGATATCTTATCGAGGGTTCACGATGAGCGAATTAATTTTGAGTAGATATAGATACAGTTCACTTAACAGGGAGCTAGCTAGCTCTGTGTTCTTCGCCAGTTCGTACTGAAGTTATATATTGTTTTCACAAAAATACTATTGTCCGATGTGAATCCGCTGAAGTTAAATGGTTTGTAATATTCGAAATCTATAAACGTTCCTGGTCAAATATTTGAAATTCCTGATTAATAAGAGTTATAACAATCACAGTTATAGCTTCCGAGGTTTATAGCAAACCAGTTATATATACTGTCTTTTTGCGCGTCGCGTTGATTATATTTATAGGCGTGAGGAGAGTTTTTCGAAATTTCAGCTTACACAACAATATAAACGATACACCAGTGTTTATGTACACATATATGTTGTTGATTCTTATACTCGAGAATTTTCTATAATTTTAGAGAATAGGCGGGAATTTTGCAAAACAGATTTAACAGTATAAGTTATGTACATTTCTACATATAAATTTAACTTAAACAAACATCGATATTAACATAGATATAGGACAGTAAATCCAGACAACCCTTTACTACGCAAAATATCAATACACTTGGATCATAAAAGCGTATTTAGATCGGCTATTTAAAATTTCCAAGATAGGGATATACATATCGTATAATATTTATAAGAAAATAAAGGAATACGGACAAACTTAGGACACCAGGTTCATCCAGAAAAATATCTGCAACAAGTCATACAAAAGTAGAATGAGTGGTTTTAGTACAATGTACATATCCATATCTCGTGCAAGTGTCCATACAACAGTTGAAAGAGTGGTGCTTGTGTAATGTAAATGTCCCGTGTAAACGTTAATAACACGAAATAGTTGGTTTTGTGTAATCTAATCATTCAGACTAAGCATTGATACAAAAGTTGAAATAGTTATATTTGTGTAATATAATCATTCAGACAAAGCATTGATACAATCCATAAGGCTAAGAACTATCTCCTCTCCATCATATCATCACTAAGTACACATAAGGCTCGTAACTATCTCCTCTCCATTCCATCATCGCTAAATATCCATAAGGCAAAGAACTATCTCCTCTCCACTACATCATCACTAAATACCCATAAGGTTAAGAATATCTCCTCTCCACTACATCATCACTAAATACCCATAAGGTTAAGGAATATCTCCT